AAAGGATTATCTTATCTTATCATTTAGCAGCTCATATTCAGGGTAAAAACACTTCATTTAAGGTGTTTTTATTTATTTCTAGATGTTTTTTTCAGTTTTGTTCTTAGATCAAGGAGCCGCTCTCATTTCATTCCCAAATCTTTGCAACCTGCAGAATGAAGATAAGTTTTTATCCTGACAGAAGAACCTGATGAGATAAACTACTGAGGAAAACATTAGTTCTGACACACAGCAGGCCGGTATTATTGGGGTTAACAGATCATTAATAAAAATAATCAGAACATGGTGAAACTCTTCAGCTGACCCATAAATAATTTTTATTTAAAATGTTTTCTGCAAAACATGATGTGTAATAATCCTCCTGCAGAACCTCAGTGTTCAGGTGGAGAGTCCAAGAGCCAAATGTTGAAGTTCTTTGGCGCCCCCTAGTGGACCTTCTGCACAGTGATCTACGCTCTGAGCTCCTCCATGGAAGACTTGCATCAGGTAGAAATAGAAGTCTAGTAGCTTTTCTGTAATTATGGATTTAATAATTTTCTTCTTTCTACTTTAACATCTTTTTCCATCTCATATTTTTTGTCTCGTTATTTTTTGGTTCCAATCATAACGACTGCAGCTCTGCGTTCTGTTTGTTTTCATTAAAAAATCCATGGTAATTAAAGCAGAAATGCTCTGAAAGAGCAAGGAGCATTTTAGACGCACTTTTTATTTAAATCCTCAGAGTGTCAGTCAGACGGCCGCCTGTCCAAACACTGAAGGACTTAATTCAACATGGAAGAAAAATTATTTTTCAACAGATCACAAAGTTTGAATTCACCCTTAACTCCCAGATATAATAAACTGCCGAGAAAATTCAAGGTAGAAATGTGAGAAGATATCAGTGAGCTGCTGCATTCAGAGGGAAAAAATAAAGATCACTGTCATCAGCATAAAGCAAGACTCTGTTTGATACCATTTCCATCCTGCTATCTCAGTAATTTATGCTTTAGATCAATTTGACAGGAGGCTGTAAGAGCAGGAGGAGAAGGAGATGTCAGGGATCTTGTTCCCCTGAAGGAGAGAAATGATCAGACATGTTATTCACTAGTTTAGCGTATAAAAGTTTTGCTGATGTCGTTAAATCTTTATGAGATTCTAACCCTGTAAGTTCCTGGAAAGGTATCGCCTCTAAACTCTTTCTGGTTAACAGACCGATCCTCAAATCCTTCAAAAGGGACTAAATGACTCATTTCATTGGTTTCTGTCCAGAAATCTAATATCTTTTAATTTGCTAACAGATTTAGCTTATTAGGACAGAAACAATTATTGTTCATGATCATGATGGTTGAAATGTGCTGCTGAAGATTCTCAGTCATCCAGGTCAGAGTCGAGTTCAAATCAAGTTTGAAGACGTTTCTCTTCCATCCAGGAAGATTTTTTAATTCCAAATGTCAGAAATAGCGTTTAGTTCCAGGTTTTATCCAGCAGCCCAACAAAGCCTGGTTTTAGTTTAGAAAACATGCAGATAGAAACGGATGAACGGGTCCCCCCCTTTGGAATGGGGGTCGTTCAGGCTGGACTCGTTTCTATTTGCATGTTTTCTAAACGAAATAGACATTTTGAATTGAAAAATCTTCCTGGATGGAAGAGAAACGTCTTCAGACTTGGAAACAAAGTCCATCGATTTTAACTTTTTTGGATTGATGGTTGCAGCAAACTTTCTTTTTTCTTTCAGATGCTCATTTCTGGAGGAGAGTCTTCGGCCCTGATCATGTGGTCTGCAGACAGCAGCAAGGAATGATGGGTTGGCACTTCAGGCCGAGGGAGGGGCGGGATTAGGAGCCGGGAGGGGCTCCTAATCCAGTAGGTGTCCCCACAGGGACACCTACTGTTCCAAACATTTAAGCAATCAGTGATTTCCTGTTTTTATTTACACCAAACAATAGAAAACCTTCTCTGGCTGAACTCAGCAGCAGTTCTTCTCAGTTCCAAAGGAGGTAGAGATGAGTTTGGTATCAAAAAATAACAATATTAATGCACAGAACTCTACATGTTTGTCTTATAAACAATATTTACAAGCTTTTCCTATAAATGCATCAGTAGCATCAGTAGTGCTTCAAACAGCTGCTTGCTGAGCTGCACCGGTCCTGAGGTTTGGAAAAGCTTTCCTGACGTCTTTCAGAGTTCCTGTCCGTTCGCACGGCGGCGTCCCCCAACCCCCACCAGGGTGCTGCTCCCTACTGGGACACCCAGGCCCCCCCGCTCTGCTGAGAGGCGCCCCCCTCTGAGGATGGCCATGTCTCAGTGTTGGTGGGTAAGATGTTGAGGCTGCTGAGGACCTCCTGCGCCGTCTTTCCCAGCATGCCCTGCATGTCGCAGACGAAGCGGTAGACGTAGCGCTTGCCGGCTGTCTTGTGGATGATGTTTTTGTGGTAGTAGTAGCGCAGGCCGCGGCTCAGCTTCTCATAGTTCATCTTTGGCTTGTTCTTGCACTGACCCCAGCGTTTGGCCACCTGAGGGATGAAAACAACCTTCAGCATCGAACACCTGAACCTTGACCTCAGCAGAAACACAGCAAACCTGCAAGCTGCACCGCATTAAGGCCCGCCTACAGAATAAACTCACAACATCATGAGAAGAAAGTTCTGTTTTCAGCTCTTAGGAGAATCTGTCTTCCCTATAAGGAGGAATGTCGAGCATCTTGTGAAGTTTTATACTTTGCTTTCATTAATAAGGAAATATTAAGTCTTTTAGCATCAAATTATTCTCAGAATCAGAAGGACTGAGCTGGAAGCTTTTCTTTCTGAAACAAGTCATGGTTTGATGACTTCATTCTGCTCATTTGTTCTCATAATGTTATGACTTTTAAAGTTTAAAGACCTAAAACATCTTTAGCCTGTTCCTGATAGTCGGACATCAGAGAGAAAAGCAGTTTAATTTCCCTGTTAGCCGTGAAGAAGTGATGGATGCTGTAATCAGGGGCCGATTTATATTTAGGCAATACTAGGCAGTTTCCTGGGGGCCCCAAGTTCCTGGGGGGCCCAAGTTCCTGGGGGG